CGATTATTTCTGACATGCGGATTTGCAATTTCGCGGCTGACCCTGCTGAAGTATCCGAACGCCAGACATTGCGAGTGCTTGTGGGTTAAAGGATGGGGCTTACTTATTTACACCTCTTGGCTTTCCTTGGCAAAAAGCTGCAAGCTCTCTCCGTTCCCGGGCTAATCATCCACTTCTATTCTCTTCTAATGATTTTGGAAATACCCGCAAACTTTGTGTAATAGGGAGATTCTCACGAGACGCCATTAAAACCGGGCGTAATCGTAATCCCGAACGAATTATTATTTTTAATTATTCTAAGTTATGTACTATCTACTTTAATGTATTCTCGAAGAATTTATCGCATAATTATGTTAAGAAAACTATGCTCGGGGCAACCACTTGGGGAATTCCTTTAAATGAACAATTAACCCTTGATCTTTAATATTCATAAGCCATAGAATTATTAATACTTGATGTTGATACGAATTTATTAACATTATAATTGTAAAGCTGTTTGGCTGATGCATCGGCATAAATAAACATCGACTTGTGCGTAAAGTTATAAAATAAATTCTTTAGATAGGATATTAATGGGGTGGGAGGGAGCGGAACATAACGGATCTACGAGAACGATGTGATAGTCGCGCATACCCATATAACGCGATGTTTTCAGAACGTAGACTAGGGTCCGTTAATAGGGCGGCTATACGTAACTGGGGCACGACGAAAAGGGGTGAATGAAAAAAGACAAAAAAAAAGAGAGTGGAAGAGTTTGGCTTTGCTCTTAAAACGGCAACATCATCCCTATAAATTTCACCTCTATTGTATACTAATTATATAAAACCCCATTTAGTTTTAAGAAGCTTTCGGGTAATTTTTAATCAAATTAGTCAAAATATGTGATGCGAAAGTGAATAATTATGTTAATTAGAGAATGTCGTGTATTTTTTCGAAAAGTATTCTAAATAAAAGAAGCGCCACTACAAGTTTGATAAAGTGTATGTTAAATTGTAATATAAAAAAAAAATAATAATAATAATAATAATAATAATAATAATAATAAGATAGAAATTTACCTAAAACAACTAATGAGGTATTTTAAATTTCATAAAAAAGGTAATGATCTTACGTTTCTTCGCGTTGTCAATTCAGTTATCGAAATCTCTTCGATATTCTTGTTGCTCAAATACATACGGTACTAATGAAATTAATATAACCTTGTAGCATGTAATATAAACATTTTTTAAATTAGATGCATATTACTTTTAACAACCGCGGGTCAAAGATATTATGTTAAATTATTTTAATAGCTCAGCAGTTTGCTACATAAAGTTTAAAGTATAAAACTCGTAATAAAATTCAATTGTCACCGTACAGTGCCAATATTAACCTTACGATTGTCACATTTTCGTTAATATCTTATATTTTATTGCCATTATTCTCTTTATTACTAGCTTTCGAATTTTATTTTGAAAGTATTATTTCTGTCTGGTCGTCTACGGAGACGCGAAGTCGGCAGTAGTTACAGTCAACGTATAGTCTCGCCAATTTGTTTTCCTCTCGACTTTATCTTTACGAACTACTCGCTCTCTAGCATACATAATTACCTCCTTAATTTATTCTCTTCAAATATTTTTATTTTGAATTTATAAAAGCAATTGGCACTACTATCATAATTTTATGCCTCGGCACTTAAATTGTAATTATGTAATTAAGTTGGAAAAGAAAAATTGACGTAATAAAAAGCCAAGGTAAAAATCTGAATTGTGCCTAATAAAATAATTTGTCTAACATTTTTTCATAGCTTTCGCACATTTTTGTAACACATTGTCGATTTACAAATTTTAATATAAAAATATAATAGACCTATTTCTATTAAGCTGCAAATGAAATTTTACCATTACATATACGATACTGTATTATATAAATAAGTTTCTTTTTTTACAACTAAAATATTCTATATTTGAATGATCGGGTCATTTTGAGAAATTGAATTTTTATCTATAAAAACATAAATACATAAAGTATTAAAATACCTAACTTTCAAGAAAAACAACGATAAACTTTAAATTGACTTTGTGCATTTTTCTGCTTATGCCAAAGTTGATATTTGCTTTATGTAAAAAAAAATGTTTTAAAAGTAGGCAATATTTTAGGCAAATGATTTGATATAAAGATAATTAAATAATAATTATTAATAATCGTAATTATTTCAATAATGAGGTCTCATTTGGAATTATTTAAACCATAATGTCATTCGTTCTAACCAATTGGTTACGTCGAAATTTCGAAAGCTGTCATAGTCGGTTTATAAGGGAAAAACACGGAATGTCAACGACCCACTAAAGCTCACGGCGAAAGCACATCACAAATTCCACGTCTCACACACACTCCGCGCGTTATCTCTTCGTCTCTACCTATGTCTATCTCTGTGGAGCAAACACTCTCTTTCCATTCTTTTGGCTATTACATCTGACTATTTTACTTGGCGAGATCAGCCCATCAAATCGAGAACTTTTCCTCTTCGCACTTTCTTTAGCGTGAGCCCGGATCTCATTCCTTCTCTCGATGAAAAGCATCGAGCATTATTCAAAGCTGAAGAACGAGAACTTGAACGAGAGAATTTATCACACACAAAAGATTCTTAGGGCTAGTTACTTATACCAGATTTGTGGCGCATCAGCACAATTTTGTAAAACCGCAAAATTCTTTGAGATATTAAAAAACCTTCGTATATAAATAAGCATTTATGATTTATAAAGGGTATTTTCAATAAATATTTCATACGTGTAGAGAATTGATCTACCAAATATACTGTAAAATAAAATTCTTTATCAAATGCGTGGGATAATGTTAGGTACCGCAAGCGCTGAGAATTAAATAAATCTTGAATAAAAAAAAATGTCAATAAACTGAATATTCCTCTAAAGAAAAAAAATATATATTCAGCTAGTAGTAGCAATTAAAAAATGGCTTATACATTTACAATATTTGGGTTTTAAATTTTATATGATAATATGTAAAATTGTGTTTACTGTATTGTGTACGAATGCTTGAAAAACATTTTTTAAAAACTTTCATGCTTCAAAAACATTTAATAAATCATCATACATTTTTGTCTTTAATTATATATATAATGAAAAATTCATTACTAAATAACAAATAATAAAATTTTTAAATTGCACTGTTTAAATTTCAAATAATCTAAATTTTAGATATTTTAGATGTGATAACATTTTTGTAGAAAAAATTAATTTTAGCGTATTTATTCGTCTCACTGTCATAAATGGTTTGAGCAGTATGAAACGATTGAGAAAATAAGACTATTTATCAAATTTAATCAGAGATCTAGCTTAATGACTAGTAAATATTTTCGAAGAATCTCATAAACATAAATCATGATATAAAGAAGCCATAATTTTAATTGATTTTATTATCGTATTTTCATAAAATATTATCTATATCATTAAAAGATAATATTCTATAATGGGAGCCTATAAATATGACGTGAATGTCGACCATTTAATAACATTAAATTTTTTAATAGTCGAAAATAAACCATCAACTGGGTTAAAAATGTATTTAATTATTGAAACGATAATTATGAATTTAGAATGAACATTGGATTTCATGGCTTGTATACACATCATTTCGAATTTGAGCTCATTTTAGTATAGTAATCAGTACGCAACACTACAATATGGTTTTCTTAAAATATAAACTCTTGTATATATATATATATATATATATATCAGAAATGCAAATATTTGCAATATAATCTTTTTTTTTTTCAAGATAAATTACATTAAATTAAAACTTATTGCAATGTCAGCATTGTGATATTAATTTACTTGTTTTTATTGATTTTAACATATGATTGTACACAATGAATAAAAAGCTTATTGCTTTTCCAATTCAATGACTAATATTTTTAGTATCCCAGAGTGTCATACTGGCAACGAAGAATCATCTCAATACTATGCAAAGATAACACTAGAAGGATCCATATTAATGTATTCGAGTCCTCGTTCTTTCATTTTGAGACGCTCGCTGTTGGCCAAAAAGAGAAAATTGATTGCCTAAACGAAAGGAAGCGGTTTGATTTTTCAAAACTCTTACATATTTAATGAATGGAAGTAAATTCAATGAAACGAACACTTGTCTAGTGAGAGCACGATATGACAAAAAAGCGAAACGAATTGTAAAAGCATTAGACAGTCTTATATATATATATATATATATCAAGAACATTAATCCGATGCCAGATGTTTACTCCGGAGGAAAAGCTCGGACGTTTTTACCGTGCGATATATATCTACGTCATAATTACCGAAGCAGACTTTTTTTGTTGCTACTAAGTGAAACCAATTCCGAGCTACCGAATGAGAATGTCGCCTTGTCTATTTTCTTGTTTTTTTTTTTTTTTTTTTTTTTTTTTAATACGCGTATTATTATTCCATATCTTTGACCTATATTTTCTTTTCCCTTGTACACTCGTTTTACGATGTTTCTGAATTGTGATGGCATTTCAGTCACGTAAGAAAACATAAAATACGTACAGTACATGTTCAAAAAGCTTGATTTTGACATAAGGGGAAAAGGACACTCTTCGTAACTCCCTAATGCACGGCTTGATAATGTCGTCGTATTCACTTGTTTAACCGTTATGTCGTTCAATGTCGATGAGAATGCGCATAATAAATTCGACTCGTGACTAGTCCTCAATTAGCGTAAATTTGAAAACAAAACGCTCGTTAATTATTTAATAGGTACATTTTCCTAACAATAGATATAAACAACATAGGCAACTGCTATTGTATCGGCTTTGTAAATACGACTTATTGTCATAGCTTTTTCAATTATCTTATTATCGAATTATGATTAAAGACCTTTGGAATCATCAATCTATCGATTTATTACAATTATATAAATAATTTTCTATATATAATTCATCATGTTGGTCATTTAAATTTATGCTTATGCTTTTTCAATAACGAGAACAAATTTATATTTTTCAGAAGTCAAAATGGAGCTCGAGGACTTGATGGCGGACATCAAGAAAACTGCTAATAAAGTCAGAGCCAAGTTAAAGGGTGAGTTTGTTTTTAACTAATAAACATTTATTTTACGAACGCCAATGAGCGCTCCAGTTGCATTATAAGCATTAATTTCATATTAATATATTATTAATAGGCTAAATAATGAAGGATAAGGATAAATTTTTTATTTTCCACTACAAAGGTTTATCATTGAAACTTGCATCTAAGCTTAACATTGCGAATATTAATTTTTTATAATTGTCAATTATATTTGATATAATATACTGTTATTATTAAAATGGAAATATCTCGATTACGCGATTTTGTTGATTGTTACACGCTCGATTGTCGCGCAAAAGAGTTAAATCCCTCTATACTTCCATTACAGTGATAGAACAAAATATCGAGCAAGAAGAGCACACGAACAAATCATCAGCGGACTTGAGGATACGCAAAACTCAGCATTCGACGTTATCTAGAAAGTTCGTCGAAGTTATGACGGAATATAATCGGACACAAACCGATTACAGGGAAAGATGTAAGGGCAGGATACAACGACAGCTGGAAATTAGTAAGTTGGCTTTGAAATATTCACGATCACGATATATTTGCTCTCACGCGTGTTTCTTAATACGACGATTCAAAAAAAAAAAAAAAAAAAAAAAAAAAAAAAAAAAAAAAAAAAAAAAAAACGAAAAAAAAATTCGTTAATATTGTATGGGTAAGCTTGATATTTAAAGAGGGTAAATTTCTTTAACGCGAGGCACTAATGCTTGCGTGATAGTTTAATGGAAAAAGGAAAAGAGAAAGCTCAAAGGCATTTAAATAAAACTCTCGGTAGTCGTTCATCGCTCTTAAAAATCAAGCGCAAAACGCACGTGCCTCTTCAAAATATGTCTACTAAGGGCATCCCTTACTTGACATATATCACGCCTATAATAAAAGCACATGTGTTCTACATGCAATAATGGTAAATTTTATATTAAAAAAAAAAAAAAATTGCATAGAAATCGAGGTATTTTAGGAAAAATTCCACTGTTGCAATTTGACTTTATTATGCCCTAACGCTTATGTCCATTACAGCGGGTAGAACGACAACTAACGAGGAACTCGAGGAGATGCTGGAGCAAGGCAATCCGGCGGTCTTCACACAGGGGGTGAGTTGCACCAGCACCCGGCTTATATTACAATCTCCAATGGTTTTTGCTTAATTCGCGAGTGGCTGAGGGCATTTGCTTTTTCTCATTTGAGCCGGGTGTCTTTTTAATACTGCGAAACAAAACAGAAACAAAAAAATCGTGTATTCCAATACCAAATTGCAAATCGCGTTAGTTTCATTTAGATGAAGTGCAATAAATAATTCGTCGCCATGCATTTACGAAACGTATAAAAAAGTATATATCGCTACCGTAATTACTTTTGTACTTCGCGAGTACGCAATTTGCCCTCTGGCTTCTATTGTCCTTTATACGTGTCTAATAATTATATCTGATGGATTTTTATTATAATTTTTCTTCGGACTACTGTCGCCAACTTTCAGGATCTGGATTCATAATCTATATCGCGAAATAGCATTTAAAACTTTTTCATCTTTACGCGTATATCCTATTGGCAATACACGAATGCCCAATATTTTTATAATTTTTTAATGGATTTCTACTGTTAACGTTTCACTTGCTACGAGCCTTAATCCGAGAAAAAAAGATTCATATTCAATTTGAAATCATAAAATGCATCGCTTTAATGAACATCTCTTACATAATGAAGGTCCAATTATATATATATTCTATTAATCTAATTTAACGTGACGAGATAGATTGTTAATAAGATTTTTCTCAATAAGAATGTCGATATGTGAGAGCATAAAAAAAAGCATAAAAATGATATGTGTATATAAATTAACTTTAATTCAATTTTTTTTTTTTTTTTTATTATTTTTTTACCACGATAGTCCTTTTATAATTTCGTTAAGTTGCTCGATTATGCGCGCATAAAGTATACGTGGAGAATATAAAATTCTTCTGAGCTCAATAATAAGCTAATCCAATCAAATTATATTATTAACTGGGTAATTTGATCGGCAAAGCATAAAATTATCGATGAGCGGAACGATTTCATTTTAAACATTCTTCTATTTATTGACATTATTGTTGCAGATTATTATGGAAACGCAACAAGCCAAACAAACTCTAGCGGATATCGAAGCGCGTCACGCTGACATCATTAAATTAGAAAACTCTATTAGGGAACTCCATGACATGTTTATGGACATGGCCATGTTAGTAGAAAGTCAGGTAAATTATCAATTTTAGCTTTCTTTCTAGGTAAAAATCTTCATTCTTGTTCAACATAAGTTTATTAAGCAGTAAAATTTTCTTTGTTTATTAATTAAACTAAATTATGTAAATTTTTCATTTGATAACTATAATATAATGAATTTTCATTTCAGCTAACTAATCGCAATGATTATTTATTGTTACATTTAATGGAAATTTCTCACATTTAATTTGATAAAAGCTTGATATTGCGATTGGTACTATTTATACTCATTTATATATACATGTGTATATATACGTGTGTGTGTATATATACACGTGTATATATATATATATATATATATATATATATATACACATTTTCCCCTATGTAACCCAGAGTGGCTTGCAAAATTTGAAATACATTTTTAAGTTCAATTGTATTTCTTGAGTGACTATTTTGTTAATATTACGAAAGGTAACAGCAAAATTAAGCAGTGGGCGCGGCGCTGTTTTGTCAAGGTTTCTTTTTTAACGTATTTTTCTTTTTTTTTCACTATTGAGAATTAAAATTTTCCAAAATAATTCAACTCCATTTACTATTCTAATAACGCTTTTTTTAATTACTCACAAGTAAAACATCTCTTACTAATTAATAACATTAGTCTTTTATGTTTTGTCTCTCGAATTGTAATAATGTAATTATTAAAGAATGCAAAAGTGATACAATGAATACTAACTTAAAATGTCCTAATGTGTAGAATAAAATTTCCTTTCACTGTATGTGACACTTCGTACTATGTAGTTAATTATTATTAACCCTTAAGTTCGAGCGTCTCGGCCTTGCTCAAGGGCAAACCGTATCATAGTTACAAACGCCAACAATGCAAGTAAAGTAGCAATTCGTTTAATTAAACGGAAATTGTAACAGCGTAAATACGGGCCAACAAAGCATCCTGCCGATGCTCGAACTTAAGCGGTGTTAAAATGAAAAGTTTCGAGCTATTAAACTCTAGCCACTGCATACTTTATCTGTCTCTCTCCACTGTGCCACTAACTTGCAACCTTACCTTTCCGTTCTCTCTGTCAATGGCCTTCCGGTATTCTTGGGAATGAACGATGCGACACACGCTGCGCCGCTGTTTTGTAGGGCGAGATGATAGATCGCATAGAGTATCACGTGGAGCACGCGGTCGACTATGTGCAGACAGCCACGCAGGACACCAAAAAAGCACTCAAGTATCAAAGCAAAGCCCGACGGGTGAGTCCTCCCCATATGTTATGCGAAAATATGTCACATTCGTTCGCGTCTAATTGGTTACGATTTTTCTTCCCCCCCCCTTTTTTTTTGGTTCTATTCCCCCTCATATCCCTCGCGACCACTCCCTCCCTCCCCCCCATGTCCCGCTCGCCGAACCCCATCCTGGTTATCTCTCTCACACCTCAACGTGTTCTTAACCCCCCCCCCACACTCAATATATATACATCCCCCACCTCTTATCTCTCTTGTTTTATTTCATTGGACGCTTTCTATTATCTATATGATTACATTTACCATTAACACCCCGTCACTGTGCCTCCGTCATCATCTTTAACATGGTTTCATTGATCGCATTCTTTTTAATGTGTGTGCGCGTGTGCGTGTGCGCGTGTGTGTGCATTTTTTTGTTTTGCCATTATATATATATATATATATATATATATATATATATATATATATTGGGTTCATTCTCGCCGAATAATTAAATGTGTGATATAATAAATTTAACTTGAAAAAAAATTGCGTCCATAAACTTGTTTGTACCATCTCTATCCGTTCAAACGAACGTGTTATTTGTATATACTCATTATTATCTGTCATCGCTGCTTCTTCATATGACAACAACAACAACAACAAAACAAAACAAAAAAAAAACAAATATGTGTACGTGATTTTTTTCTTGTGAATTCTCCATCACATGGACTTGTAATTTGGTATAATGGATGTGACGATTGTGCCTCTGTCCACTGCTACTCTGTCTATACTAACTGCTAACTAACATAAAAATATATACATATCTATACAATGTTCTCCGTGCAATATATATTCTACTTTGGTGTGTGCTCGCGTATTGTATAATTGCGTGTTTATACTTTGTATCTGCCGACTTGTTCGTAAACCATGTATATATCTCTACTTCCCCCCCCCTCTCACTCTCTCTCTCTCTCTCCCTATATGTCTTTGTGTGTGCGCGCGTATGTGTACATACTTTTTTGTACACGTATATTTTTACGTATGTGTATGTATATATACATTAAATATTGTATACGCAAAAAACGCGGGTAATTTGTGTCATTACTCTTACGTATTTACACGTGCACCTGCAAAATGACACATCTGACCCATTGTCCAATCCTGCCCGCTCGTTCTCCCTCTCTCTCTCTCTCTCTCTCTCTCTCTCTCTCTCTCTCTCTGCGCATTTCTCCCACTCTATCTATTTATCCATCCATATCTATTTCTGTATCTGTACTTTCTTGCCTGTACTCTTATAAATGTTACACATCCGTTCCGCAACGGATGATCTGTAAAAAATGAAAATAAATCCATCCTCGAAGTTAATATTTCCATCGAACCGTTAACAAACAATTCCCACCCCCTGATATAATCGAAAAAATAAAACATAAAACCCCCTACCCCATCCCTCCCGTGAACACGAACAAACGAACAGGGCGACATGGTGGACCGAATAGAGTACTGCGTGACTCAGACTGGCGACCACGTTGGTTCGGCCCGGGGTGAACTCCTCAAAGCCGAGGAATATAAGAGCAAAGCTCGCAAGGTAAAGGAACAAGCAACAAATTCTTGTATGTCGGTTGAGAGTATTTAAAATTCAATTGGTATTCACGATCGGACGAGGGTCAATTATTAACGCCCATATATATTTATTTATTTTTTCATGGCGCGTTCCGTTTGGACATGTTATTTCAGTCCGCTCACAATTCACAAGATTACCGTTTCCGATTTTATTAATCGTGTATTATGCTACTGTTCAGCCTCGATCGATCGAGTAACATTGTTGAAAATAATGTTACCGATTGCAAAACAAATCATATTGACGTTTACTTTTCAACATTGCATTACGTTTTAAAGGATTTTTAGATTATGTTGGCTAAACTTACGAAGCCCGCGCATCTTTTCTTATAATTCGTTTTATCGTGAATATTTGATTATGTCGTATTAGTATGAAATCTTCGGGATCCCTCTCGTTTAATCTAACCACTACTTTGGAACACTAACATAGTGCTTTGATAACATAATTAATATTAATGTCATAACGATGCTTAAGTTTCGACATGCTATACGAATCACGTAGATTACGTGTGTAACTCACAACTTTGTACACGACCGCTCTATTGGATTTTTTAAATCGTTACCAAGATTTTCATTCATTTCCAACATCCTTACCTTTTCCTCTCTAAGCTCTGATAATCCCATTAGAACTAATTCCACTAATAATCAAATAACTGTTATTAGCTAATCGAGATGTTAGGCCTATTTGGAGCTTGCACTGCAATTAATCGTAATAAGACGCAAGCCGATGATAAAGTGTCATTGGTGTATAAGTATGTGCTGCTTCTTCGTGTGAATTCGTCGAGAATTATAAAATCATCCGAGGCGCATCATTCGATGAGATAGAAAAGTCGCGAATTATTGATTATTTTATGGCTTTTGAGCACTTATTGGTACCCCCTATAAATAGCGTTGCCGAATGATTTTAAAAAGACATAAGGCAAGTAAGGTTTTTTCGCGCGGAGAACCACGCAAAAATTGCAGTGCGTGCTTTAAAGGGCAAAAATTGTTTATGTGAGCGATAGATGGTAACAAAAAAAGTGTACGGGCTTTGAAGCGCCTTGTGGCGCTATTGCACGGCAGTAGTAAATGTCGTGACGATTGTGCGATGCGATATAGAGAATTCCACAAGCCTACCGTCCACGTGTGCGTCTCTATTCGCAACTCGTAATATGTGCGCCTGTGTGTGTGCCTGTGCGACAAAAGCAATTAAGCCGTCCCCGGTAATAGAGGAAACGTATCTGGGCGGACGAAATTACCGACACACACACACACCTTCTCTCTCTCTCTCTCTCTCTCTATCTCTCTATCTATCTATCTCTCTATCTATCTATCTCTCCATCTATCTAGCTATCTATCTATCTATCTAACTATTTACCTATCTGTCTCTATCTCTTTATCTCTCTCTCTCTCTCTCTCTCTCTCTCTCGATCTATCTCTACGTGCGTGTGTATGTGCGTGCGTGTACTTGTGAGTGTGCTTGGGCGTTTGCGCGCGTGCGTTTGCATGCACTTGATGTATATACGCGAGTACCGAGTAATTGCAAGGACCGTAATCGCAACAATGCCCGATGGAAAAACAATATCATATCTATAGAAATATATCTGTGTATGCACGTCGCATGCCTACTTCCTCCTCCCGTCTTCGTTGCTTACTTGATACCCCATTCTTTAGCTTTCATATATATATTTTTTTTTTTTTTTCGAAATTACGTAAACAGAGCAGGGAATCTAATTTTCTCCTTAAAAATATCTTTACAGTTGCTACTGTATTGTATTTGGCTTTCGTTTTTTTGTTTTTAAGAAGACGCAGCAGCGCGCGCTTTGTTATTTCGACGGCAGGAAAATGTCGCAAATTCCTGCCTTCGTAATTGCTAAAGTGCTAATTGTGGCTGACTGATAATCGACGATGCTTTTACAAATTTATTGGAACTTACTTTTAAAAAAAAAACCTTCGTTGCCAAATCGAAAAATTTACGAAACTAATGTAAATCACGCGGACCTAAGCGCGCAGCTTCGTTCCACTAAATTTATAAAATACTCGAGGAGTATGTAGATCGTTCGATTATCGGGTGTTCGACAGACACGTATGTACGGAAAAGACTTTCTCGCAATGGAAACTTAATACGCAATTCGTGTTTAATAAGTGACTAGCAATTAGCTCGCGACACTTTAATTTTAAAGGACCAAGGTATATCACTTCACGGGAATGAAGTTTCTTTTTCTCCTTAATCAGCTCTCCAGTTGCTTGTTTAAGTGGCCCCGGATGAAAAAAGAGTGAGAAGACAGAGCGAAAGCAGAATAACAATGTAAGACACGAGAAATTAGATTCGATTTGTAGTCGTAACTGTAATCCGTAGATCAAGTTTATATTCATCGGCTCTCTCGGCTTCAATAGTCCATGAGCTCTTTGCTTTCGTACGAGCGAAATGGAAATCGCTCGCAGTATCGATGATCGGCTTCTATTAGCCCATGCCATTTTAGTCGCCGGCCAATGAAAAAAAAAAAAAAAACGGAACAAAACCACAAAAGACATGACAGCCGCTTCGGTACTTTCGACAAATCCAAGCACTTATCGAGTAGTATAAATCGAGATTAACGCCCTCGCGCTACGTTCCCATCTGCTTTCTCTACGGTGACAAAATTTAAGTGACTTGCATGCTCGTTGCATTATTTATTACGTTAACGCATGTTACATCCGACTATTTGTTTCGCGAGTATCGTTGCGTATTTTTCTTCCTTGTAGCTATACGTCCTTACGCATACTTTAACACAGCTCGCTAGTCGATTATTATCAAGAAAATCACTTCAACTGCCAAAGATTATTCATACATTCACAGTTTCTCATCTGATGGCATAAACTTAAAAATAAACATACGCAATACAACGTAACTATTATTTATCCATTAATGTAATTTTATCGTGAATTGATGCCTTGATTTTTAATCGTCTGAACAAAGATGTTTTTCTCTTCTTGATCGTTGTGCTTTACAAATGACGAATTATTTTTCAGACAGTCCAAGCTCAAATGCGCGAGTTTAGTTCAATGACATTATTGTGAAATATATTAAAATTATAATGTATATTGAATTTAATTAACAATAATATCGTTAGATCTGACTATTTGTTTTATTATTGAAATGGAAACAAAAAAAAAAAAAAAAAAA